AAGTAAATAAATAAAACTAGATCTCATCATATCTCTCACATACTTAAAACCCTTCAGTGACCTAGGAAGCATCCAGACTCCATGGTCAGCACCCTGTCTCCCTCCAGCTCCCCCTTTTGCAGTCTCCCCTGCTCACCAGCCTCCAGCCACACCATCCACTCCACACACACACACTCTTGCCTTAGCTCCCTCCCACCTCCTCTTCAGCCATTTCTCCCTTACCTTCCCAGACTCTGTCTAAATGCTCTGGTATACAGAAGGAGCTTGATGAGTATGAGGAAGGGACCAGGACAGAGGAAGGGAAGGAAAAGCCATGGTGAGAGGGTGATGCTTACAGCAAGGAGTTGTATGGTGAGGGCAGGGGCAGGTTGAGGGATGAGGCTTCAGAGCTCCCTTGAACTATTCCTTGAAGCATTCTGTAATGAATCCTATCCCTTTAAGTGTTTTATAGCAAGACCTGCACCTGTTTGAGTTATTCTGTTTTATTTCTGGCACTGCATCATTATAGCCATCGGTTTTATCGAATGACGCTGATGCCTTTTTCGTTTTGTTTTTCTGAGATAGAGTCTCACTCTGTCACCCAGGCTGTAATGCAATGGCATGATCTCAGCTCACTGCAACCATTGCCTCTCGGGTTCAAGAGATTTTCCTGCCTCAGCCTCCTGAGGTTCACACCACCACGCCCAGCTAATTTCTTGTATTTTTAGTAGAGACAGGGTTTCACCATGTTGCCCAGGCTGGTCTTGAACTCGTGACCTCAAACCTCAGCCTCTCAAAGCCACGGCATCGAGCACATTGTTGACTGGTGACTCCAGCTGGCCCCTGAGAAAAGCAGTATTACCTCCCTCTGCCCCCTGGTGGCCTTGTAGGTGCAGAGACCATTGTTCCAGTCTAACCCTGGCTACTAGAATGTGCTTTGATTTTCTGGCTTATAGCACCACCATTTGGCCAAATTTGCTAATAGGCAGCTGCTCCATCCACACTCACCTCCAATTTTTCAACCTTCTCATTGGCAAAGTTCATGGAATCCGAGCCTCTTGGAGCTTAAACAATGGATGTAAGTGCTCTCCAGAGCCTCATCCAAGCTTGCAGTTCATTCTGGAGGGCCATGCTAGAGGTGTAGACAGAATGGCAGTGACCATGGTGCAGGAGTCAAGGAACTGGCCCTGTGAATGTCAGGCATGTGTTCCCCTGCCCTGACACCCTCATCCTCCTTCACGCTGCTTCCTACACAACGTTTCTCTAGATTGGCTCAGTCCTATTTACAGTCTTTGATCTCTGCCTTTCTGATTCTCACCACACTTTAAAAAATAAATGTTTTCATTTTTCCTTATTTATAGTAGAAAATTAGAGGCCAGGCACAGTGGCTCAGGCCTGTAATTCCAGCACTTTGGGAGGCTGAAGCAGGTGGATCACGGGGTCAGGAATTCAAGATCATCCTAGCCAATATGATGAAACCACATCTCTACTAAAAATACAAAAAATTAGCCTGGCATGGTGGTGGGTGCCTATAATCCCCGCTACTTGGGATGCTGAGACAGAGAATCACTTGAACCTAGGAGGCAGAGGTTGTAGTGAGCTGAGATCATACCACTGCACTCCAGCCTGGGCAACAGAGCGAGACTCTCTCAAAAAAGAAAGAAAGAAAGGAAATTAGAAAACGGACCAGGCTCAGTGGCTCACACCTCTAATCCCAACACTTTGGGAGGCTGAGGCAGGTGGATCACCTGAGGTCAGGAGTTTGAGACTAGCCTGACCAATATCGTAAAACCTCATCTCTACTAAAAATACAAAAATTAGTTGGGCCTGGTGGCGTGCACTTGAAGTCCCAGCTACTAAGGAACCTGAGACACGAGAATTGCTTGAACTGGGAGGTGGGCACTGAGCTGATATCATGCCACTGCACTCCAGACTGGGTGACAGAGCAAGACTCCATCTAAAAAAAAATTAGAAAACATAGATTGGCAAAAATAAGAAAATTTTAAAACCATAAGAATACTACCACCTAGGGAAAACTATTGTTAATATCTTGATATGCATCCTTCAATATCTTTTAACATATGACTTTTTTTTTTTTTTGGCCTGGCCTGAGACTCGCCCATCAGGGTAGTGGGTTTTTCTTTCATTTCACAAAAGTGAATTAACTTGTGTTCACTGTTTTGCAATCTCCTCTTCACACATAGCATATATAACGGGAACATCTTTTCCTGTCAGTAAATACTCATCTTACAGCCAGGTGCATGGCTCAAACCTGTAATCCCAGCACTTTGGAAGGTCGAGGCAGGTGGATCACCTGAGGCCAGGAGTTCAAGACCAGCCTGACTAACATGGAGAACTTCCAACTCTACTAAAAATGCAAAATTAGCCAGGCATGGTGGCGCATGCCTATAGTCCCAGCTACTTGGGAGGCTGAGGCAGGAGAATCACTTGAACCCAGGAGGCAGAGGCTGCAGTGAGCCAAGATCATACCATTGCACTCCAATCTGGGCAATAAGAGCGAAACTCCATCTCGAAATAAATAGGTACTCATCTTACACAGATTCTAATAATACTATTTTCAAGGATTGAATAGTGTCCCCTCAATGAATGGATATAACATAATTTCTTTCTTTTTTTTTTTTTTAGGTAGTCTCGCTCTGTCACCAGGCTGGAATGCAGTGATATGATCTCAACTCACTGCAACCTCCACCTCCTGGGTTCAATGGATTCTCCTGCCTCGGCCTTCTGAGTAGCTGGTACTATAGGCGCGCAACACCACGCCCAACTAATTTTTGCATTTTTAGTAGAGACGGAGTTTTACCATATTGGCCGGGATGGTCTTGATCTCTTGACCTTTTGATCCTTCTGCCTGTCAAAGTGCTGGGATTACAGGCGTGAGCCACTGTGCGCAGCCTGGATATAGCATAATTTCTTTAACCATGCCAGGTACAGTGGCTCAGGCCTGTAATACCAGCACTTTGGGAGGCTGAGGCAGGGGAATCACTTGACATCAAGAGTTCAAGACCAGCCTGGTCTACACAGTGAAACCCCATCTCTACTAAAAATGCAAAAAATTAGCTGGATGTGGTGGTGGGTGCCTGTAATCCTTGTTACTCGAGAGGCTGAGGCAGGAGAATCGCTTGAACTCGGGAGGCAGAAGTTGCAGTGAACTAAGATCATGCCACTGCACTCCAGTCTGGGTGACATGAGCAAAACTCTGTCTCAAAAAAAATTTCTTTATCCATTCCCCTAGTTTAGGATTTCTGCTTTGTTTTTAGTTTTCTGCTATCATAAACTGAACTGCAACAAGCATCCCTCTGGTCATTTGAAAAGTAATTTTGTATTGTGAATGTTCCCATAAATGGCATGCTTCGTTCATTAAACTGTGAGGACTTGGTAGTAACTGCCCAGTGCCCCCTCCCCTCATGCAGAGGCACACTTGCAGACTCCAGTCAGCAGTCCTGCCCCCTCCCCCTGATCAGCACAGTGGATATTTATCTAAATCCCACCCACCTCAGCTCTCAACTTCTCCGGGACTCCCAAGGTCCTTACTCTTTTCTCTCCTTTAATTTTATGTTTTACTTTTTTATAGAGACAAGGTCTCACTGACTTTTTTTTTTTTTTTTTTTTGAGACAGCGTCTAGCTATGTTGCCCAGACTAGTCTCAAACTCTTGGCATCGGGCAATTGTCCTGCCTCTGCCTCACACAGTGCTGGGATTATAGACTTGAGCCACAGTGCCCAGCCCCTTACTCTCTTCTTACCTAGCATCTAAGTTAGTATCCATCAATGTATTTGTTCAGAAATGAATGATATTTTTACCCTGGTGTTTACATCTTTATAATAATACCTAATATTGTACAATGCTTTGAAGTTTATTAACTATTTTATACAGAGCTACCACTCTTTGAGTGCTTACTGTGTGCCAGGTACTGTGCTAAGAATTTGAAATAAATGATCCCTAAGCTTTCCAAGATAGGTAAGTATAAGCGGTCCCGTGTCATGAAAAAGGAAACTGCTGGGTGCGGTGGCTCACACCTGTAATCCCACCACTTTAGGAGGCTGAGGTGGGCAGATCACCTGAGATCAGGAGTTTGAGACCAGCCTGGGCAACATGGCCCTACTAAAAAAAATACAAAACTTGGCCGGGCGCGGTGGCTCAAGCCTGTAATCCCAGCACTTTGGGAGGCCGAGGCGGGTGGATCACGAGGTCAAGAGATCAAGACCATCCTGGTCAACATGGTGAAACCCCGTCTCTACTCAAAATACAAAAAATTAGCTGGGCACGGTGGCGCGTGCCTGTAATCCCAGCTACTCTGGAGGCTGAGGCAGGAGAATTGCCTGAACCCAGGGGGCGGAGGTTGCGGTGAGCTGAGATTGTGCCATTGCACTCCAGCCTGGGTAACAAGAGCGAAACTCCGTCTCAAAAAAAAAAATACAAAACTTAGTCAGGCATGGTGGCAGACACCTGTAATCCCAGCTTCTCCAGAGCCTGAGGCAGGAGAATTGTTTGAACCCGGGAACCGGAGGTTGTAGTGAGCCGTGATTGCACCATTGCACTTTAGCCTGGGTGACAGAGTGAGACTCCATCTCAAAAAAAGAAAAAGAAAAAGGAAACTGGGGTTTAGGACAAGACCAAATGACGTAGTAGAAAAAGCTCTGAAGTCGGACCAGACCCAAGCTTGAATTATTTATTTGCTGTGAGTATCACAAATTGTCAGTTCACTCCATGGATAAAAATCGGATGTGAACACCTCTAGCCAGGGCGTGCACTCCTCAGTCTTCCACAGTTTGCACCACTCCCAGTGACTTACACCACTTTGCACACTTGCCTACCTGAACCCTGACAGTACGTAAATTTGAAAATATTATTCCATTTGATCTTTATCAAGGGCTTTGTAAGGAGGGCAGCAGCATAACAAAGGTAGGAGAGTAGGAGAATTCCACCCTGAGTTAGGCAAGAACGGGATGTTTAGTCCATAATTAGTTATTTTATAATTTATTTTATGTTATTTTATTATTTCAAATATGGAACGCTTCACAGATTTGTGTGTCATCATTGCGCAGGGGCCATACTAATCTTCTCTGTATTGTTCCAGTTTTAGTATATGTGCTATAGAGGCGAGCACTATTTTATTTTATTTTTTGAGGTAAAGTCTTGCTCTGTCACCCAGGCTGGAGGGCAGTGACACAATCACCACTCACTGCAGCCTTGACATCCCAGGCTCAAGTGATCCTCCCACCTCAGCCTCCTGAGTAGTTGGGACTACATGCATGCACCACCACACCAAACTAATTTTTTATTTTTTGTAGACATGGGGTCTCACCATATTTCCCAGGCTGGTCTCAAACTCCTGGGCTCAAGGGATCCTCGCCGCCGGGCCTCCCAAAGCACCGGGACCGCAGGCACATGCCACCATGCCGAGCTAATTTGTTTTTGTTTGTTCGCTGGTTTCTGTAGAGATTGGGGTCTCACTATGTTGCCCAAGCTGGTCTCAAATTTCTGAGTTCAAACCATCTTCCTGCTTTGGCACCCCCCCTCCCCAAAGCACTGGGGCTACAGGCATGAACCACTATGCCCAGCCTTCTGCCTCTCTCTCTCTTTTTTTTTTGAGACAGAGTTTTGCTCTTGTTGCCGAGGCCAGAGTGCAATGGTATGATCTCAGCTTACTGCAACCTCGCCTCCCAGGTTCAAGCAATTCTCCTGCCTCAGTCTTCCAAGTGGCTGTGATTACAGGCATATGCCACCACGCTCGGCTAATTTTGTATTTTAAGTAGAGACAGGGCCAGGCGCAGTGGCTCAAACCTGTAATCTCAGCACTTTGGGAGGCCGAGGCTGGCAGATCACCTCAGGTCAGGAGTTCAAGACCAGCCTGGCCAAGATGGTGAAACATCTTGTTTTTAAAAAATACCTGTCTTTAAAAAATAAAAAACAATTAAAGGTGAAATAATAATTTAAAAATATAAATTTTTTAAAAAGTAGAAGGCTGGGCTCGGTGGCTCACTCCTGTAATCCCAGCACTTTGGGAGGCCGAGGCGGGTGGATCACGAAGTCAAGAGATCAAGACCATCCTGGTCAACATGGTGAAACCCCATCTCTACTAAAAATACAAAAAATTAGCTGGGCATGGTGGCGTGTGCCTGTAATCCCAGCTACTCAGGAGGCTGAGGCGGGAGAATTGCCTGAACCCAGGAGGCGGAGGTTGCGATGAGCCGAGATTGCACTATTGCACTCCAGCCTGGGTAACAAGAGCGAAACTCCGTCTCAAAAAAAAAAAGTAGGCCGGGCACGGTGGCTCAAGCCTGTAATCCCAGCACTTTGGGAGGCCGAGGCGGGTGGATCACGAGGTCAAGAGATCGAGACCATCCTGGTCAACATGGTGAAACGCTGTCTCTACTAAAAATACAAAAACTTAGCTGGGCATGGTGGCGCGTGCCTGTAATCCCAGCTACTCAGGAGGCTGAGGCGGGAGAATTGCCTGAACCCAGGAGGCGGAGGTTGCAGTGAGCCGAGATTGCGCCATTGCACTCCAGCCTGGGTAACAAGAGCGAAACTCCGTCTAAAAAAAAAAAAAAAAAAGTAGAGACAGGATTTCACCATGTTGGCTAGACTGGTCTCAAACTCCTGACCTCAGGTGATCCACCTGCCTCGGCTTCCAAAGTACTGGGATTACAGGCGTGAGCCACTGCACCCGGCCATTCTGCCTCTCTTCTTTGGAAGACAGTTGGCTTCCATTTCTCTATAAGCTCCAAGCCCAGTACAGATAACAAGCCCATCAAATTGGCTGCACAGGCACCTAGAAGGTTTGGGGCTAAGTCACATATCCAACTAGTGACACTTCCTTCAGGGAGCAGCACAGAGCTCCCAACCCTGTTGGGATGCAGGACAGCTGAGCCAGAAAATTCAATCATAGTAGACAGCCTATCTCTCCAAAGAAGAAACCCTTGTCTTCTGCCTCTAGCTGACATTCTGTGACTGCACAGACAGCACTGTGTCAGTTTAGCAATTACTACATAACAAACCACCCCAAGAGTTAGAGACTTAAAGCAATAATTAGCTCACAACTCTGCAATTTTAGCTGGACTCAGCTGAGCAGTTCTGTTCATCTCACTTAGAGTTGCTTGAATGGCTGCATTCATATGGACAGGATGGTCTATGATGGCCTCATCACATATCTGGCAGTTACCTGGGATTGTCAGCCAAAGGACCTCAGTTCTCCTGCGTGTGGCTCTCCAGCAGAATAGCCTTGGCTCCTGGCCTGGCATCAGCAGGTCCCAAGAGAGTGAAAGTGGAAGCCACAAGATTTTCCACAGTCTAGGCTCCAGAAGTCACATATTGTCACTTCTGACACATTTGTTAGCCAAAGCAAGTCACAAGGCAATGCCAAATTCAAAAAGTAGGTTACATAGACTCTACTTTTTGTTTTTTTGGGTTTTTTTTGGACGGAGTCTCACTCTGTCACCTGGCTGGAGTGCGGTGGTGCGATCTCGGCTCACTGCAACTTCTGCCTCCCGGGTTCAAGCTATTCTCCTGCCTCAGCCTCCCAAGTAGGGAGGCTTAGTTATCTTAGATGTCTCTAAGAGACGAACTGAAAAATTCAGGACTAGTCCAGGACAAACTCACAGGGCAGTGGAAGGCAGAATCCAAATCTCCAAAGAGTAAAAAACTGAGGAAAACAAAATTTTAATCAGAAGAGCAAGACTGAGCGTGAGGTCCAAAGAGAAATGTTAGGCCATAATTGGGAAAGCAAATCACTGGGTCAGAAGCTAATAAAGAAATGTCGGAGAACGATCCAAGATGGCCGATCGCTAACATCCCGGGATTGCAGCTCTCAGGGAAGGCACGGAGAACTAGAGGACACCACACTTTCAGACAAAGTCTGGTCGCTCACGGAGCAGAAGATCCCCCAGTGGTGGAAACACACGAGTCGCCAGCGCGACTCTCATGGTCAGCGCAGCGGTTCCGCCGGCACCTCGGCGCCGCAGCGCTCGGCGCAGAGTAAATGGGACCGGTTCCCCTTCTGACGGACGTTTGGAGCCCCGGGAAGGCAGAGTCGCCTACTATGGAAACAAGAAGGAAGCCCGACAGGAGAATCCTGGGCAGAAAAGCACCATCAGTTTTAACGCCGCTGCTCTGGTCCTGGGAACTAACAACCTGGACGTCCACTCAAGAGACCTAATCTGAAAGTTGGTAATTTCAAAGACGACAGGAGGATAAATTTACAATGACGGGAAGAAACCAGCGTAAAAAAGCTGAGAATACTCAAAGTCAGAACGCCTCTCCCTCTAAAGATGATCATAGTTCCACATCAACAATGGAACAAGGCTTGATGGACAACGAGCGCATCCTGATGACAGAATCACTCTTCAAGGAATGGATAATAACAAACTTCGGTGAGTTAAAAGAACATGTTGTAGCCCAACGTAAAGAAACTAGGAACTTTGAAAAAAGGTTTGATGAAATCCTATTGAGAATAGACAACTTAGAGAGGAGTATGAGTGAATTAATGGAACTGAAGAATACAATACAGGAACTCCGAGAAGTATGCACAGGTTTAAACACTCGAATTGTTCAAGCAGAAGAAGGGATATCAGAGGTCAAAGTCCAACTTAATGAAATAAAACGTGAAGAAAAGATTAGAGAAAAAAGGATAAAAAGGAATGAGCAAAGTCTCCAAGAAATGTGGGACTATGTGAAAAGACCAAATTTACGTTGGATAGGTTTACCTGAATGCGATGGAGAGAATGAATCCAAGCTGGAAAATACCCTTCAGGATATTATTCAGAAAAATTTTCCTAAACTAGCAAAGCAGGTCAACATTCAACCCCAGGTAATACAGAGAACACCACAAAGATATTCCTCAAGAAGAGCAACCCCAAGGCACATAATCGTTAGATTCACCAGGGTTGAAACGAAGGAGAGGATACTAAGGACAGCCAGAGAGAAAGGTCAGATTACCCACAAAGGCAAGCCTATCAGACTTACAGCAGATCTCTCGGCAGAAACTCTACAGGCCAGAAGAGAGTGGGGGCCAATATTCAACATCCTCAAAGAACAGAACCTTCGGCCCAGAATTTCATATCCAGCCAAACTAAGCTTCACAACTGAAGGAAAAATAAAATCTTTTATGAACAAGCAAGAACTCAGAGATTTTATTACCACCAGGCCTGCTTTACAAGAGCTTCTGAAAGAAGCATTACACACAGAAAGAAACAACCAGTATTAGCCTTTCTAAAAATACACCAAAAAGTAAAGAGCACCAACATAAAGAAGAATTTACACCAACAAATGGATAAAACAGCCAGTCAACATCAAATGGCAGTAACCCTAAATTTAAATTGACTAAATTCCCAATCAAAAGACACAGCCAAAACCCAACGGCATGTTACATCCAGACCTGTTTCACATGCAAGGATACACAAAGACTCAAAACAAAGGGATGGAGAAAGATTTACCAACCAAATGGAGAGCAAAAATAAATAATAAATAAATAAAAAGCAGGAGTTGCAATTCTTGTATCGGATAAAATAGATTTTAAAGCAACAAAGATATAGTGGTAAAAGGATCAATGCAACAACAAGAGCTAAGGATCCTAACACCCAGATAGGAGACTTAGATTCAATGAGACAGAAAATTAATAAGGATATCATGGACTCGAACTCAGATCCAGAACAAGTAAACTTAATAAATATTTATAGAGCTCTCCACTTCAAATATACAAAATATACATTCTTGTCAATACCACATCACACCTACCCATTAGTTTAAATGAAACATTGATTGGCCGTTATTAATACCCAATTTGTTTCAAAATAAAGCAATATTTCCATTTACTCTCCCTCTTTCTCTTCCTCTTTCTTCCTCTCCTTTACTTATTTTTTTTTTTCTTTCCTTCTCTCAAAAAAAAGAAATCAACTTGTAAACCTCTAGATCCAGGTCGGCAATGTCTCTTTCATTGCTTGATTTCCTTTCTTCCCTTCCCTCCCTCCCTCCCTCCCTCCCTCCCTCCCCGCTTCCTCCCTTCCTTCCTTCCTCCCTCCCATCCTTCTTCCCTTCCTTCCTGCCTTCCTCCCCCCCCAAAAAAAAAAAAAAAAGAAATGTCAATGTTGAATAAGAAATGTATGAAGA